CCATTCAAAGATGGACAAAATACTAAATGAAAATGTTAAAATTTATAAATTTCATGCTGTTTAGACCGTGATGCTATTTCATAAGTCTCAATAAGCTTACGCACTTGAACTTACTAAATGTAAACACTTCCCTCTACTTACTTTGCGATTTGGTTTGCTAATTGAATTTTTATGTCTGGCCATACGTGCAAAAGGACCTCTATTCAACTAAGTCTTCTCGTAATCTGCTCTAGTTGGTATTTTTAGTAATTAATCGGAACAAAAATTTCGGCGAGGCGTTGGGAGGACAACCCAAATGAACCACAGCAAAATGCGAGTCATAGCGATACGATTTCGTTTCTGACGTTTAAATTTCATTTATTTACTATAAGTAGCTACGTTTTTTCTAGATGGAGAAACTTTTTAAATGTCGACGCCACCCAACTTTGGCACCTAATTTATCTATGATTCAACATTATTAGACCACCCACATAGTCGCGACTATTCGATGTGGGATACTACTTTCTCGCATCCTTGTAGGGCCAAGTAGGCGTGGGAGATTTTTTAATCATTTTATAAGAGAAATCGAATGTAAACTCAAACAAATGCCTTGTAGTGGATTTTTCATTTAGTTTGCCGATGTCATCGATCAAGACAAAAAATCCAAGTTATATGGAAACTTGACAAAATGTGATAAATCGAGTAGGAATTTCGGGGAAAGAAATAAGTCCAGCCCGTTACAAGCATATAGGGATAGGATGACGCACATATTCAGTGCTGCGTGGTTTCGATCAATCTTGTGCCAGAGTAAAGCAAAAATATTTCTAATTTTGACCCCCCATTAATCCATCTTCTGACCACTTATTAGTTGTATATTTTGTAAATATTGACCGAAATAGACTACGTAGGGTGGGATAATTCTTCCCTACTTTGTCCATTTGCTTACGTGTATCTGAGAAATGGCGAAATATCATTTCTAATCGTGATACAGCTAGTTAGTTCCCATTTGTTTTCATAAGCTATTTTGAACACCTTGCTCGATTACTTGCAAAATAAACATCTTCAACGTATTACCGGTGTTATAAAATTCTAATACCATACTACATTTTGAGCTGGTTTTATCGATACGTGAGATTTAAGTAGGTGTATCGCGCTTTGATTGACATAGAACCTTTATTCTAACACCATATGACATCCGCTTTTATTCTTCCAATATTTTATGATATTAATTTTGGTGTATATAGATTATTAAAAATCTTGTCTGAAATCCATGATGCCCCGCTATTTGGTTTATCAAAATTAGTTTCGTACTGTGTGGCCTAGGTAACGCTAACGATATATACGACAAACGATACCAATAAAAATACCTATACCATAAAATAGCTGATATTGCCCTACAGATCGGCCAATTTCTCCGAGGTTACTTTAATAAGCAATACACACAGCCATCATGAATGAAATTTTTATCCGAATTAATCAAAAAATGATGATGCGATTTATCCCATTCTTTTGTAATGTAGACCTTGTTAAAAGATGGATATCATAATAATAAAAATATCTTATGATATAATTTTTTCTAAAATCGCGAAAAATGATATTAGACATAAAATATTTGCATATATATATACAAATCCTAAGACGGTGTCTCATATAAGATTAATAATATTTGTAATCATAATATTATTCTAATCCATAAATGAATGGATGTTTAGAAAAGGGAACGCGATGCATAGTTCTATGTAGTGTAATCTAAGTAAAGAATTGGTTGAGCAAATTTTTGAGAGGAGAGAAAAATCAGCGTAACCACACCTTATAGTCAAAACTGAAATTGTTGAAATATGGTCTTGAATAATGGTTTGTGTACATTCGTATTAAGGATTCTTTCTGTTTTTATCAGTCTCGTTCGTAACCGCATCTTTGGATAGATCTTAATAATTTCAAGGGCGCTTTATTTTCAGGTCTATCTCATTACTCCAAATTTCGATTTGTGATGTTTTGAAGGACCAATTTTATCTGTTATTTCAAGGACCATTCACCTTTGATAGGGTTTTCAATTAATGAATATATTTGCGATATGAAAGTATTATCATCGCATGATTACACACAATGGTGTTTTGATGGTGTGCTATTGTCATCTAGAATTTATTTGATCTTTATGCCTTAAGTGCCATAAAGTATAAATGTATGTTCCATAATCGTCTATTTTCATATCAAATCTAGAATAAATGAAAAATACAAAGTGAACAGTATGCTACTCAATTCATAACGATTCATATATCTTTTTTATGATACGAAAAAAAAAAATTGTTTACTAGTTTTAACATTCACGAAGATTCGAATCTTCCGAGTTTTCGACAATAATTCAGAATCGATTTAATTATTGTGATACTAAAATATAACGCTGTTTGTAGGAATCATAACTGTATATGTTCGAACCATCACAAGTTTTTTGCTCGAAAAAGTTTTCGAATCCTTTTTTTTTATTGGAATTCATGTCTCTTTTCTTTGTTTTAATTTTTTTTCCATTTCATGTTAATCGCTTGAGCTTGACTGCGTTCTGAGGAGCAAAATTATCAACTGTTGAAATTAAGCGTCATATTTAAATTATGGTGTTTGAATCCCTCAATCTTTTAAATTAAACTGGGTGATTTGTGACTGACAACAGGAAATAAAATTGAGCTTCGTTTCCTGAACAGCAAATATTGAATGTTAAATAATACCAGGAGCAACTGAGAATACAGTTTTTATGTTCTATGAATGTTGTCAGCATCATATTCCGTTGCATTTTATATATTGAAACTTTCATCCTATTTTCAAATCTGTGTCACCGATAATCTTACATCCGTTTACGAATAAGACAAAAACATTTCACTTGCCGAATATTAACGTTATATTATCATTTAACTAGTAAACCAATTAATTGTCCACTCAAGTGCTCGGGATTGGAAGCCCGATGGCCCACAAGGACTCTGAGGGTTCGAGAAGGAGGGTAAGTGCCTGGGGCGCAGTGAAACCGGTGACTGGTCCGGCACGCTTGACCACACGATCTCGTTTGACCACTTCACATCCTGCGCTCCATTTCCAACGAAAGATTAGGAAGTAATAAGGCCTAAGTGTTTAAAATGCTTAGCCATTCAAACTAGTGTGTGAATCAAACATGAAAATCGACATCTTTTCTACCTTTCACATTATACAGATTATCACTAATACTTAAACTCGTTAGATTTTTAGTTTTTACTATTGTGTTAAGACAGGTGTGTCTTAATGTAAGCTGAATACCCGGTGTTTTCTTACACGTAGGGTCGTCAGTCAACACACCAATGAATGCGATTTTCATAATCAGCAAGGAATGCCACGCAATGTCAGGAAAGGATTTTCTTTGTCCTGTACCGTGTATGTAAATAGGATTTATTTTGCATGAACGAAAATCGGATAGATATCTCTAATAATGAAGAATATAGAAACTTTTATTAGTTTTGCAACCTTCGAATCTAACTGATTAATCAGATGTATTTATATTACGCTTGGTGGTCAGTTACAACCAGGTCCTTATAATACTATCACACTACATGTTGAAACATACTGCAATGAAAGAAATGTTTTATGAAGCAATATATAGGCGATAGTAAAATGCAATCTTTTTGGTGTTCTGACAAAGAAAGGGGTAATGAATAATAATAATAGTAATAAGAACTACAACACAATAAAACATATGTTATACAGAAAATTTTAATTTTGTTTCCTTGGAAATACAAAAAATATAATGTAATTTTAATTCCTATACTATATCGTTTAAATATTTTTTCTATGTACCACGATTGAGCGTCCCATTGTTTATTATAAATTTACGAATTAGTTGGTTGAAGCATATACTTACGCTCTCAAGTATAATTTTGAATGGTTGTTCATTCTTTTTGTTTGTTTTATCAGTTGGGACATTTAGAAGGAATCTATCTGTAAAAAATATTTTTGTTTTGAGTGTTTCAGTATTCGTACTTCATACATGATTTGTAGTATACATCTCAAAATTGACCCTATACTTTAAAACTGAACTTTTGTGATATATAGTCATTTTGTGTTCTAATTGGGATATACAGAGAATTGTATTTAAACGATAATTAAAGTAAAATCTTGCGCATTTAAATGAGCAAAATCTGAATTCCTATTATGTCTACAAACGTCAATGTGATTCCAATAAGCTTGCTATTTTGCTGTATTTGGTTACAATCGATATACTGTACATATCCCCTTTTTTGTATCCGAAAATACGATCATTTTATATTGTGTAACCTATCACAAGGTAACAGTAGTCGGGAGGAATACTGTTTGGTAAAGAAATTTATCGTGTTACAAATGCCTGTTCGTTTATCGACCAAAACGCCATAAATACGTTATTTTTCATTGTTTGGGTTTACTTCTCTAAAACGTAAACGCTTATAATATCGTGACAATGTTGTTCATACCCGGATTTAATATTTTCTATTGTTAAGAGCTCTGTGTGTCTGTACCTATGTTGTGGATATCTGTATATAAAGAGTGTTTTGATATCATGAAACGTACCATTTTGGTTTAGCATATACATATTTATCACTACCTACTTAGTACTAAAATGAATCAATTGGCCAATTTATTTGGTATTTATATTTATTCCTCATTGTTTTTGCTTAATATCCAAGGGGAAATAATTCAACTGAATTTCACTGGATCGGCTTAAAGTATATCACTCCGAATGGAATTTGTAAAAATCATGAATCTTTCTAATGCATTTAGTTACTAATGTGTAATCGGAGAGCCTTGTCTCTTGCTTCAGAGGTACTGCTTCTTCGTAATCAGGCTTTTAGCGGCATCAACTGAAACGGTTTTCCCTATGATTTACGCTATCATATTATTAAGAACATCTTGGCCAATTTTTTCATATCTTGTTCTGTTCTCTTTGAAACACCAAAACATTTAAGCTACGGATGCTTGGTATAAAGTTATTTCTAATATTTCACAATTTATAAACCATTCCATTTTTACAGACAAAGCTTGATCAAGCGCGGGAAAAGAAGAACGAAATTTTGCCAACAAGATCCAACACCTCACTTCACGATCTTGTTAGTGAACGTTTTACCTCTGTGAACTTAAACGACGCTTCATTACCAATACTACACGTACCAGATGAAAATCGCGTATTCAGCGAAGAGTCTCAAGTTTACAGAATACGAGATAACCATAACCATTTCAGGACGCACGCAGCGCACCACTCAACTCAAAACGGTTCTCCTCCGTCGTTTTCGACATTCACTGGTGCAAAAAAGGGCAATCACCCTGGATACCATGATATATAGCAATTTTTGTAATACAAAATTGCTAATTTAGAAAATGAGTGGCTATTCTCTTTTAATGAACTTTTCACAGAAGACATAGACACACATTTCATGTGTATTTTATCTGTGGCGATTAATGTAATTTTCATAATCCCTTGAAATAATTTTTGCAATTCAATTGCTGGGTAAAATGTATGTTCGGGCCTTAGAAAATCCGGTAAACAACTCTGTCCCGATTTGAGATTTTATTTTTTGTTGTTTCGGGCGTTTACATAATGTCACAGACATGGAATTCATCCACTTTAACGGTTTAGATTTTCCAAAACAAAGCTCAAAACAACACCCACAAAGATGTTGAAAGCTATTTGGTATGGGTTCATCTGTAAATTTACCTGTACAGACACACCGGAAAATGATATTTGATATAGCACAACTTGATCGATACATTCAAAAATCCCATTTTTGTTCAAATATCACGTAATAGCATTTTTTCATATTGTATAATCAGCAGGGCTGTGTATATTTTATGGCTTCAACCTATTATAGAATACACCATCGAGAACTCCATTCTTCACCTTTCGCCGAATGTTACATAACCCAAATTTTACCATGTCAGATTTTTTTGTTTCTTTTTTTTTTCCTTATGCTGCGTATGTGCCATCGTATTAAAAATATTTTTGGTTGCTTTATTTGCTGTTATATTATATTTGCGGTGTTCAGCGAACTCTGTTTTTAATTTTTATTTAATCGTTGGTTTGTCTAACTCCGCACATTTATTTTTATATAACATCAAATCGAAAAACCCCGCTAAGCAAAATAGTTGTTTTTTTAGCCACGTTTCGATTCGTTTTTAATATATTGTCAAGTTGGATTTATCTCTTTTTCTTTCCGCTTTTTATTCCATTGCAATAATTATTTGAATCCGAGAATTTATGTAACAATCGGGATCATTTGCAATTAATTATTCATGACAATTGAAAACTATGGATGAAAACCCGCCATAAGCTTTGTTCAGCTATGAGAAATAGACATACTGTAGTTTTAGTTCCCAGCTCTTTGCTGTCATACAATTTTGCACTGATTGCATATTTGCCGCACACTAGTCTCGATCTTTTTTGGCTCACCTATATGTACATTTAACTCAGTACAGTAGACCATGTAGTAAGGAAACTTTGTCCTTACCTCTTATACTATCTCATGAAATCATAGCCTCGCTTCGAACACTTTCAGTAAAAATTTGTTTCTGATTTTTTGAACCCGAAACACTTATCGAATATTTGTATCATAATTTACAATTTGTATCATAGGATGCACACGTTATGCGTTTTTTTAGTGGAATGTTTTTGGCACAAGCAGCTGAAAATTGGACAAAATTAAATTGAATTAAATCACATCTATTCAATACTTATAAGTATGGAAATCAAGGACTTAGTGCTGTATATTTTCTAATTGTCGATTACAGTTTGATTATAATTTTTGTAATCGGTATCGTATTTTAATAATCGATAATATAAGTGCAATCGATTAATAACTTTATATGATATTACTATATATTCCATCTAAGTGCACTTATTGTACAATTTTGCTATTTACATACACAAATATTTCTAAAATGTACTTTGTTGTTAGCTTTGTACGTGTTTTGATTGTTGTCTGGAATCTGGATAGTTTGTTTCATTCGTTTAAAATTTTGAAGAAGTGTGTCTTATATTTATATGTTTAATTATATTTTATCCTTGTCCGACTAGTTTGTGATGCTCATTAGAGAAATGTGTGTTGTTTCTGATCCAAATTTCTCATTTTTATGTCTGAATTGGTGCAATTTTTGTATGCTTTATATGTCAATTGAAAAATGTTTGGCCTATCTGCGGAATTATTATATTTATTACCACACATCACCGTGCGTCGATATTAAAGACACTCCATAATATATCAAAATTGAAATAAATGAAAATTGTCGAGTATGAGTTAATAACCTATATTTTGACGAAATATAGACGAGCTCGAAAATGTTTCAATTCTATTATCAATGTGATGAGATTTTGATAGTGTTAAAACTTTGAAAAGTTCATCAAATCTCAGAAAATGATAAATGATGTCATATTTTCTTACGTCATGCTTCCCTTAAAATATTTGTATAAAAATCGACCATCGTAGGGTATACGAATATAAGGCCATTTGCATTTTCACCAATTGGCCGATAATATGATATTAGAACCCCGACTTTATTTACTAAACGTTGTGAACTTCGATATTCTGCATCTGGCTCGGAATATAAAAATGCTACATGTTAAAAAAAATTTAAAAATAAGAATGCTGTGATGATGATTAAGCCAATATAGTGCTTATAAATTTTTTTTGTTTGCAATGACCTTGAACATCCATTCTGATTTATTTATTTGGTGTGTTTATTTATTACCCATTATTTAATATTAAATGTAGATGAAGCAATAACCGAGTAGTTGAAATAAAATTAAAACATACCCAAGGTATTGGATACATTTTGTACGGGAAAAACACGGGGTAGGAAAGCGCCCTTGGTTCGATCTGCGTTACGTCTTCCGACTGGGTCGAATTTCTGTATTCGAAAACCTATCGGGGTGGTTCATAAAAGTACATTCACGTGTTCGGTGTTCACTATAACATTTCAACAATTAAGCTGCGTTTAGATGTTCAGTTCTGTTCATTTGAAATACGTGTTACGTGATTCAATCGTTTTGCCCCCATATTGATTGCTATGCGATTTTATTCAGATGTTCTAAGTTGCTGAGTTTTTAGAGGACTCTGATGCGTACCCACACTATTTATTCGACATAATTCGGCCGCAGAAATTTTTGTTTTCTGTGATTGCAGTCGCGGATACGAAGTAATCCGTTGGGTGACACACCTAATCAACTAGATCCTGGAAGGGGGTGCAAATATGACCAGTTTTGCAAGCTTTTTCTTGCATAAGAAATATGTATACGAGCGCTCCATGAAACTGTATACAAAATAAGAACATGATAAAAAATTTGATTGGGCTATTTACATTTATCGGTTTCAGTACAAAGCGTTTACCCGATTCTGTATAAATTTTTATACTGAATATGTATTTATCCAATTTTGTAACTCCGTTTTCAAACTCATCTGTACTGATGAAAATTCATGACTATGCTTATGCTTATGTGCTGTTTTGGAATAACTGTAAAATCATTCCTACTTTAAGGCAGTTTTTAATAGTTTACTGTGGACTTCGGACAAATCTAATCACTTGTTGACGGTTCCGTATTTCGTCGCGGTTTCGTGGTCAAGCCCTCGAACATAATCTGGCAGAGAGATAAAGAATCTCTTCTAATGTCCACCACCTGGCCAAACGGTGGTTTATAGAAGAAAAACGATTGCTTGGTAGTTGCAGGGGAACGATTTACATACCAACAAGACGAGATAAGTGCGATTTCCCACCGTTAGGTCATTAGTGAGCGGTGGTATTAGGTAACCCACTTCGATATCCTATCAGGACAAATCGCCCGGAATTCGATCTAATTACTGACAAGGGAACCAAATCATGTTTGCAATTAAATGAATTTAGTAGTTATGACAATATGATTGCTTTCTTGGAAAAATCCTAGATTGTTTCACATGTCAATAGATTAACTGTTATGGAAACGATCATATCCATGATACTTCAAAATATGTGATCATGTTTGTTTCCAATCATTAGTGATGTTGTATTTCATTATTTCTGTTTTGGCATCTCAGCTTTCCAAAAATATTTCTAGATTGTTTCGCATATCAATAAATTAACTGTTATGTAACGATCAAACACATTATCTACTTTAAAATACGTGATCACGTTTGTTTCCATTCATTAGTAATGCTGTATTTCATTGTTTCTGTTTTGGAATCTCAGCATTATATAACCGACGATTCCGCTTTTTATTCGAAGAAAAAGCAACTTGGCAGTTTTGACAAGCATCAATGTCGATTACCTAACTGACCATTACACGGTGTCGGTTGCCACAATAATATCAAGTGTCGTCTACTTACAGAAGCACCGAGTTAAACGATGTCCAAAACACTTTAAGGAGCGGAACCCGACTGGGGTGAGACGCATGACCCACAAATGATGTGGGATAGCTTGGGCCCCTCGTTGTCAACAAGGCACCAAGTCAGAGTATCAGCTGGCGACCTCTTTGGACATCGGAGGTAGAAGAATAATACAATTACAGCTTCTGACAAGTGGTTAAATTTCAAAGTATTTTTTGTCTCCTTTTGTTGTAACACAAATAGCGGAAAGACACATTCGATAGTTGGTTTTCAAGCATTATAGAGTCCAATAACCAGTCTTCTTAGACCAGGACATTTTATAATGTAATGAATAAAAAATATTTATTGAAACAAAAAGTTCAAAAAAACGTTCATACTAATTGTGCATTTCGTGTTTCCCAGTCGCGTCTGGACACGGTCTGATTTTTCTACCAAATTATACCATTGTTTTACATTTCCGTGGATGTTAAATTCGAAATAAAGTAAACTTATTTAACCAGAAGGCGATTCAGATTGAAAATGTAACATGTTCTCTGTTCTGTCATTCATGTTACAAGTCTTCTCATATCAAATTAAAAATGCACATTTATTCAATATTTCAAAATCACTCGTTTCAGAAATTCGGTTAGCTTTATTATAAGGAATTGAAAAAGCTCGTCACAATGAATATATCTAAGCGTCACCTGCTGTAAATTCAACTATGCGATACCTGTCATTGTAGTTACCAAGCAACATTAGAACTTCGGTTGGTGTTAAAATTCAAGTGATTTGTTTAAAACGTCATTAAGCGGTGACCCAAGTCTATGCAAACCCCTGTGCAAATATTATGCGCGTGTTACGTCTTAGAATGGCTTTCGCGCGTTTATATCACGCACCAATGCATAATCCGTCAATTTTTCTTCCACCTCAAATAGGGCGAGAGACGTCAGATTTTTCTAAACATATTCGTGGCACATCTTTATCCTCAATAAACATTACGCCAGCCTATATCAAGAGAATAAATTTTTAATGTTGTCGACAACCAAATTTTAAAATTGTTAGTCATGTCCCTACTCAGATTATGAAGTATTTTGTTTTAACTTTTTGCTCTGCTGTATTTATAGCCTATTAAATATCACACAATTTAGATAAAAGTGATATATGTGTTCATTGCACGCTCTGTTGTGCGGAAAAAGAAAAGAATCATTCAGGAATTTTTCCGAGCATGAGCCATACCAGATCTGCATCTTGCCTAAGCGTTTCATTGGTGGCTCATGCTTGTTCTTGTGGCATTATATTAAAAATAGGATATTTTTCCATGAATTTGGTTGGAACTTGTGGAATATTTTGTGGTTAATTTTGAAACGTACTAAAATCACAATCTTTGATAGATTTGTACTATAATTAATTTTTTCATCATTTCCCAGATCAGTTAGTTTTATAATGTAATTGCATTTATGTCATTGGGTGTAAGTATATTGCGAAGTCAATGTTGAACCGGAAAGATACCTGTCTTTACAAAAGCACTACCTCCTCATACCTGTTTTTTAAAGCCTTGCTTTGAATGAAGGTATAAAAACGTATCATGAAAACTATCAATTTTTGAGTAAATTATGTTACTTTGACGAAAAATAAAGGTACTCCAGAAGTATGAGCACCAAGATGGCGGATACCGAAACGTCGTATGTGTACCAGGTTAGGGTTAGGACATAATTTTAGGTACAAATATTACGGGAGTCACTTGGCTAATCACTGAACTCGTAATATAACTTAAATAAGGAAAATTGAAATAAAATTATGACCTAACCCTAACCTGGTACACATACGACGTTCCGATGTCCGCCATCTTGGTGCACATACTTCTGGAGCGCCAAAATCAGGGTATCACATTTCGCGAATTTGTTGTCAATTCTAATACAGACGAGGTTAGTTTGAATAATATCAAAAGGAATATTCAAGGTGTTTCGTTTACGTTATTTTATTATTGAAACAACGCAAATTCAAAATTTTCCAATCTTTATAAATGTGATTGATGTACCATGATGCTATTTAACACCGTAAGTCTGTTTTAAATTATTATGACTGAACACAACAAAATAATTTCTATTTGACAGCAAACACGTCCATCACAAAACTTATATGCATTCAGTTTCCCACGCTGTATTTACTTAAGGCTTGAGAAGTTCTTTAGTCGGAACTGTGCAAACATTGCGAACACGACTGAACACGTGATTTTACACCGAAACAACAAACCGCGTAAAATCACACCTGATGTATGGCAAGGAAAACAAATCCGAGCTTCCTACGTTGTTATGATCGATGTGGCACCACAAACTTCACGGTTATAATCACGTGATCGACTATAATAACGAATCATGGATCTATTTTACAGAACGACGTATAGTATGAATACAGACATATCTGGAGTACATTAGTTAGTAATTGCCATTTTCAATTAGTATCATGCACTTATGATGACAATTGCACAATAATGAGTCATATTTATTGCATATTTCTAATTGATATATGGCATAAATAGAGATATTTTATATTTCAAAATATCTCTGATAGTGCTAAAGACTAATGACAAGTTTCAAAAAGGCTTTCTATTGAAATTCTGTTACTGCAAATTTATTCTTTGTATCTATGTGATAATGCAAAGTTGCGGATATGGATTTTTGATACAAATAATTGAAATAAATTTACGTTCACAAATAATTCTATATTTGGTGGCGTCAGATAACATTAACAGGCTAATTATACCAGAATCGCGGACAATACAATAAATAAAACTCTTTATGGTTCAAATGATACCAAAATAATACATAATATACATTGTACAATATCTATATAGTTATCTCCAAGTAGGCAAAGCTCTATTGGTTATCGTCAAAAACATCATTGATTTTTACAGTCTGGTGTGCTTAAAACAAACTGAAGAAGATACATTGGGTGTTTCGTGGTGAAAATTTCATTTCGGAATATCGAATGACAATACAAAATGAGTTACAAAGTTACAAAACAAGTTACAATACAAAGTTAGTTATGTGTTTCATTTGCTACGATCCATCCAATTCCAGGGACATCATCATCGGTAATGGAAATCGCATGTTAGGTTAAATCAGAATAATGATATGCGTTCTACTCTGTAAAGGTACGAATATCTGGGTTCTGGTGGGATTTAAAAAAGGATGTCATTCGACTATAAAAGAAGAAGCTGAAGCAAGGAAACAGCGTAGGTCCCTCGGTTTTTTTTAACTAATTTTCACTAAACATATCCCAGCAAAAAAATAGTTATATTACATTAAGGTGCAGAGCGACAAGAACAAGTAGTACATTTGCGCCTAGTGGTTGAATCACCCTCTTCCCTAGCTTTAATCGCGGACTTGTCCTCTATAGTAATTACTACACTCATACATACTTCGTTCATATTTGTAACTTTGTGTTCAATGTGCGCGCAATTACGACAATCAAACTTCAAAA